ACAGCGGGGGCTGCGGTAGCGGCCGCGGTGGCTGCATGCATGGGGGGTTGCGTGCAGCGGTGAAGGGTGCGCGCGCATGAGCGCGCACGCCGCCATCCGCCTCCTCGGCCCAGCCAAGAGGCAACCCTTTTGAGACTGGCCCAGGTCTCAAAAAGGTTGCCTGTCCCTGATTTAAAGAGTGCAATCATATCACTCCTCATTCTTCTCTCCACCAAGCTTCACACCAGCCTTCTTCAACCTCTCCTCATATGTTTTGTTCTCCATATCTCTTTATCATATTTTATTTTGGCACAATTTATTTAGTGTAAATTGATTTAGTGTACAGTACTTCATTAATTTTACACACACACAAACACACACACACACACACTTTAATTTTAACGATCTATGGTCTATGCCACAATTTGCTCCTGGTGTTGTTTCTGCAGAGAGAATGAAGCTTCACCATCTTTTCCTTCCAACTGATTTGTCCATCAAATGATATCCTTATAATACTATTGTCTCTTTGATTGCTTGAGGAATGATTTTGCAATGAACAGACTTGCAAAATTCAATGTCACTCTCCTGCTTCAGGTCAAAATCTCCAACAATATTTGGCTCTGCTGTTTCCTAATTTGCCTTCTATTTGCCTATTATTATCAACTCTTTTGCAGTGTGATTGATTTCCTTCTGGGCACACGGAGGATCTTTTGATTTCTTCCTCTTCTGTCTCTATGGTGTGAGCATAATTCTGGATTACAGCTATATTGATAGGTTTTCCTGATGTCTTAGTGATATTATTCAGTCAGACTTTGCATTATATCTCCTTACTGTTTTTACTACATTTCATCTCATTAGTAATGCCCATTTCATCTTTGAATTTCCTGTCTACCTTATCTCACTTACACCAAGTACACTATGGCTATGTGTTCTATTTCTTGTTGTATGATTTCTAGCTTTCCATGATTCATACCTTTCACATTTCATGTTCCTACTAGATATATAGAGCAACTTCAGACTTTCCTTTCATCTTTTTCTTTTCTCTTACATCCATTCAGCTTTAGTCCAGTTGTGGCATTAGAGACACTGCTGGGTATGTTTAGCCTGAAGAAGAGAATGTTAAGAAGTGATATGGTAGCCATGTTTAAACATTGGAAGGGATGTCATATTGAGCAAAAGCAAAAGCAGCTTCATTTATATACCACTTCATATTGCACTATGGGATGTCTAAGCGGTTTACAACTGTGAACTGATTGCCCCCCAACAAGCGGGGTGCTCATTTTAACAACCTTGGAAGGATGTAGGCCTGAGTCGAGCCTCAGCCCTGGCTGGTATTGAACTCGCAACCTTGGGGTCTGTGAGTGAGTGGATGCAGTACAGGCATTTAACCATTGCACCACCAGGATGGAGCAAGCTCATTTCCTGCTGCTCCAGAAACAAGGACACAGAGCAATGGATGCAAACTACAGGAAAAAAGATTCTATTTAAACATCAGGAAATACATCCTGGTGGTAAGAGCTAGTTGACAATGGAACATGCTGTCTCAGGGGATGCTGGAGTCTCTTTGTTTGGAGGTTTTTAAACAGAGTGTGGACAGCCATGTGTTGGGAGTGTTTTGATCATGTATTCCTGCATGGCAGGGAGTTGTGTGGGATGGCCCTTGGGTCTCTTTCAACTCTAGGACTGTATGATTCTACTTGTCCTCATTCTCTTCTCTTCCCCAATAGCTCAATGTGTGCTATCTGTCTTGGGGGTATCCCCTTCCAGCTTCTTGTTTCATTTTGAATTCTTTCAGCATAGGGTCTTCAAGATAAATGTTACTGAGTAGTGGTTTACCATTGCCTTCTTCTGTGCAGGACTAACTCCTTCAGGGTTAGTCATTATTTGTCACTGCTGTTATTTCTGAGAGATGTTCCACCAATGTCACCCCTTACTAATGCTACTGCTGTTGCCCAGTAGGAATTTGACACATTCAATCTGGAAGTCTGCCTGATGTGGGAGACCCTACCAGCAGCATTTTTACCAGCAGCATAGCCTCTTACTTCACTAGAACATGAAATCCTACAGCCAGAAAAAGATAATGCTAATGTAGTGATAATTCACAGACCTTATGGCACACATCTTTCTTCTCAAGTGTTTCTCAAAGAAATGCTGAGCCAGATAAATAGGAAAGCATAGCACATACGAGTTGTGGATGGGGGGAATAGTTTATTTTCCCCAATGGTTTTTAATGCACTATAGCAACAGTAACACTATCAGCAGTGAATGCAGGGAACTGAGGGCCATTGCACACTTTTAATTTCCCCATTGTATCCTAATTACGGCAGCATCTGTTCTGAATAACTTTCTACATTATCAGGAGTGGAGCATGGATAATTAGCAACCCTTGTTCCTTGCTGCCAGTGTGATGGCTTCTCATTTTACTCTATGATATGGGTGGGCATTCCAGTGCACATCCTGGAGCCAGAAAAATTATGGAGGCACTGAAAAAGGATGTCCCCTTGAGCAGAATAGGATCATCAGTGGGCCTGACTGCCTCCCATGCTGTCAGCTCTTAGGCAGAAGCAGGAATGATCCACAGTTCATTGCTGGATATAGCAAAATTGTCCAGCTGTGATTGTACTCAGAAGCAGGTGGACTCCAGATTTACTAACCAAGAGGAATATAATCAGCTAAGTAGCTTGCTGGTTGTCTGGCAACTCAACTGTTTTTGAGTTTTGTTTTGCTTTTGCACTCAGAGGAAGATTACTGAGTACTAGTGGTTGACTGTTGAAGACCAATAGACTGCATAAGGGTAAATATTCTCAGAACATGAGATGTCATGGTATAATTGTAACTATATATGTGTGGACCACATCATTGCTTTGATGAGGACTTTCATATTCAAACACTCTCAGGAGATCTCTGAGCATCCTAAAAGAATAAGCAAAGTTTAAGTATAAAAATGTCACCAATACGCTGTGCATATCATCTGGGCTTTGATATTGTGCATTTGTCTGCTCACAAAACCTGAATATGTATTTATGATACAAGGCTGCATATATTTGCCTATTGAAAATAATGTGTTTGCAGCTATTCAGTAACCTACCTGTTCCTTGCTGCTATTAGCAGATATGAAGTTGACTTATAAGGAGCCCAAGCTTGTCCATCTAAGCCCAGTGTAGTCTGCTATGACAGACAGTGGCTCTTGGAGTACCTAGGTAGAAGCCATTCCCATCACCTATTCTTTTAAGGTAGATACGCCAAGCTTTTGAACTTGGATGCTGCAGACATTTTTCCTTTGGTATCACTGCCAAGCTTCACATGTGGCCATAAAGGATCAGCAGAATGGAACTTCACATTCCCAATATCCCTTGAATGGTTGCTCTGCATTGGAATCCTTGCCTCATTGTGTATGCTGGGTTTTTGTCCTGGGATTAGTAGGCACAGATGCAGCAGCAGCAGTAGGGTTTTACCATGATGATGGGTCATAACAATGGCTGACATCCTGTTGATGTTTTATACACATGCAAAATCCCTTAAATAGAGCCCTGTGTCTCAGGTGAAGGCAATAACAAACCACCTCTGAAAAAATCTTGCCAAGAAAACTCCATGTTAGGTTTGCCTTAGGGTCACCATAAATTGGAAACTACTTGAAGGCCTGCAATAGCTGCAGCAGCAGCAACAATGACATGACAAAATAGAACAAGTTATGCTGGACATAACATTCACTGTGCCAGTTTGTTGTTTATTTTTCTGGTAGAAATTCTCTGAGAGCTAGAACACACAGTACTAAAAAGCAGCCTGCCTATTAGGGTGCATCTATACTGTAGTAGACATAATGTCATTTGACATCAGTTTAATTGCTGTAACTCCATCCTCTGGAATCTTGGGATTTGTAGTTTTCCAAGGTCTTTAGTTTTTGTTACCAAAGAATGCTGGTGCCCCACAAATTCCAGGATTCTGTATGAGGGAGCCCTGGTAATTAAATGTGTCAAACTGCATTATTTATACAGTGCAGATTCACCCTAGGTTAGCCCAGGCAAAACCATGTCTGTTTCTTCTACACAATATCTTCTCTTCAAAGTCAACCTGTTATGGTCCAGGCACTGCTTTCAAAACAGGCCCATCTACCTCCTTTGGCTCTGCATGGAGCCTATGGGCCCATCTCATCTTAGTCTGAGGAGGTCTTCTGTTGGCAGGAGAGGATACACATGAATAAATACAATGCATCACATCCCAAAGTACCCAGAAGATCTAGGTTAAAACCAAAACAAGACATGGGAATGCAGTATGTTAACCACTTCAGGACCCACCCACCCCCCACCCCCCAAGATAAGGAAAGCTGAAGCCTTGTTCTTGGTAGGAGAGGCACTTAATCTTTTTGCAAGAAAAAGGACATTGAGGAGAGGGATCCGTTTCCATGAAGCCCTCAGGCCACATTCCCCCCCCCGCCCATGCCATAAAAGCAATAGTTGCATAAGATGGAAATGACAACACAGACATTATGGGAAGTAAAATAAATGACTTGAGTACAGTCTTTATGCATCCCAACACAGTAGCTGTTAGGGTGATTTCAGCCATTCAGTTATCACTCCAGATTATGCAAGCAAAAATGTCCTGAGCGTGGTCTTGATTATTTCACCCACAGGTGCTGCTAGGAGGCTATGTGTAGGCGGCAGCTCAACCACTAGTTATAAATGGCACATGGGACTGTGGGCATTCAGAAAGCATGCCTCTCATGTCTACAGGCCCAGGCTCATGGGAGGATTACTCTGTCTCCGAGACCACTGTGCCCTTTCTCACTGCTAAGAGAAGGTGGCATGTAATTCCTTCCCTTATGCTAACCCAAGAGGCAGAGAGTTACTGTCACTTCAGATCCATCAGAAGCTGTTCATCTCCAAATGGATTTTTGCAGTTTGCTAGTGACATTCCTGTGTTGCAGCACAGAATACGTTGTCAATGCATACAATAGCAAATTCAGATTTTATTTTTCCTCCAGAAAGATGGTTTACTTGATGCTTCTTTCTTTAGAGATAAGAACCAGTGCAGTGTAGTGGTTTACGTGTCAGACTAGGACTCTGGAAGACCAGGGTTCAAATCCCCACTCAGCCATGGGAACTCAGTGTGTGACTTTGGTAGAATTCAAAGATATAGCCATATTAATTTGTATAATTACTATTAATTGTGGATAGATTCTGCATTACCTTTAAGACTAACTGGAAAAAAAAATTAAGAAGTTGTCAGCATGAGCTTTTGTAGACTTCAGTCTACTTCTTCAGATGCTTATGGTGGACTTGTGACCTTGGGTAAGTTACACACTCCCTAGCCTAAGAAGGAAGTAAATGAATAACTATTGCCAAGAATACCCTGTGATACAGTCACTATATGTAGACTTGAAGGCTCATATCATCAAACAACATTGTTTTATTTTGAAGGAAGTATCCTATATATGAGAATCAACATGGTTTCAGCATTGGACTGAGGCCCTGGAGACCAGGATTCTAATTGATGCTTGGTCATGGAAACCCATCAAGTCACACTCTCTCAGCCTCAGAGGAAGATAAAGGCAAAGGCAAATCTCCTCTAAACAAACTTGTGTAAGTTCCTCTACAGAAGTGGCTGGCCATTTTCATCCCATGTAAAATGGTTGTATTAAATTCAAGACTGTGAAGGTGAAATTGCACAAGACTGTGGATTGTGGCTGATGTGCATTATCTTATGTGCATTACATATTGCACATACCAATGCCCATTGGAATGCACAACATCACAATTCACTACTGAAGTGCTGCTGCACAACTACCACACAACTACATGAGTATAAAGCTATCCTTCAGTTTCTGTAGGCAGGATTTCAGCCTACTGTTATTTTAAAACATGGCAGCCAGATTGGCTACTGCAACATCCAGGAGTGAATATATTGCACCAATATTAAAATCACTTCACTGGCTGCCAATTAGTTTCCAAGCAAGGTACAAAGTGTTGGTTATTACCTTTAAAATCCTACTTGGTTTGGGTCCAGATTACCTAGAAATAATAGTGCCACTCTATTCTGCTTTGGTCAGGCCTCACCTGGA